GGCCGATAAAAATATCCGACCAACGCAAATTAGAGGTTCCGAAACAGCCAAGCGAATTTGACCACGCAAGCCTCTTACCTTACGCTCGAACGCACGTACACGCGAACCGAGTAATGAGTCGAGTTTGCTTCTATAAATCTATGTCATTTACAACGTGGTCGCTTTGTGCACATATGGAAGTTTTATCATTCAAAAAGTTATTTAGTAATGTTATTTAGTTATTTAAAAAATGATCTCGTCATTATGATTGAGACGATGATTGAGATGGTATGAGGCAAAGAACAGCAGTTTCGAAACTCAAAGTAGCAGATTTATATACAAGAGCAATATAATATACAATTTTCTGGAAACAGATACTACGAAGAAATTTCATTTTTCACGCATTCTTCTAAACGCAACGAAATAAATACACGCAAAATTACCAGCAGGATCATCAAACGTCGATCGTATGATAGATTTGACCTGTCAATCGCTCCTAGGACAATTGGCTGAGGAATTAATTATTTTCTCTTGGTAAAATTTCCACGGTTGTTAGTGGAAAAGAAACCGACTTTCAACGATGATTTACGTACCTCGACTGTGTGACCTTTGCGCAGTCTAGTGACGAGCATGGCTTGTGTACACGTAAATAAGAATAAGGCGGCAGGTGTACGTAACACGGTAGTTCCACGTTGAGGAGACCATCTGGTGACGTACCGTTTTCGTGACTGAAAGTGGGACGTAAAAGGATGCTAATGAGTACCATGTTGCCTTCGTCGGTCGAATGAGGAATCACTTTCTGAGAAACAGGTACCTGGCCTGACTTGTGAGAACTTAAGATTGATCAAACGTACGGTGAATGTTTATTCGAAATAGCAATGGCGAGTACCATTTTTCGAGATTGTCATTAAACGGTCAATTATGATGTTAGAAATTGTTTTATATTACGCGGCAATGTCGATGAAAGTTTCATTGGAAAAGTTTCTTTGGCTTGGTTTATAACTGGTTTTCAGAAGAAAGCCTGATTGAAGTCCATTTTCTTATACTTTGGGATTATAGATGCAGAAAGTTAATTATAGCAGTAAAGTGGAATGGTCTGCGCAACGTTAATGTGATCAGTGATCGTAAATTCTTTACGTTACGATTTAATTCGTGCTCGTGCGTGGAATAGCAAGTGGCAAAGTTTTTTGTAACGATTATTCGGCTATCTTTGTTTGATCTACACAAGTACATCACTGGTCACATTATTTAAATGCTCTAAATTCTAGATTAATACCGCGCACAAAGTGATCGTTATAAACAGGGCGAATTGATAACAACATTGATTACTACTATGTACGATTTCGAATTTCAGTTTTATGCTGAAGTCATCTTTCTTTCTTAAGCTATTAAGAACCTTTCTACTTGGTGGAACGAGAACGAAATAAAGATATAGAAATTCAGAAGAAGAATCTGTGGGAAAATTCATAGATTGATTGCTACTTTTATTTAACAAAGTAATATCAAATTAATTATTTTGTTATTTAAGTATATAAACAGTGCAGAACAATACAGAAATCAAGAGACTTTTAGAAAATAGAGTTGATTAGCTTGGATTTTGGGCAGCTCGTTATACATTTATTCTCATCGAAGAATCTTCGAAGAATCCACAGTTGCCTAGATCATTCGATAAACCGAAACAAATCCACAAATCGTAAAACTACCTACCACCACCAAATACAAGCTTGTTAAGACATTTCTAATCACCTCTATCAGCCACTCAGGCTATTATCTATAACTCGGAAGCACCTTATACCAGAAAATGCAAGTCGAAACTCTCGTTCCGCTATTTTTTCGATGAACCAACTGCCATTATGGCTGCGATAAAAAGCACCAAGATGCCTGAAAGCGTCGAAATGACGCCACTAAAGACCACAATTCGCAGACGATTTCTCGGAATGTTTGATCGCGTCTCTTTGGATATTCTAATTAAACGCGGTCCTAATTAAAACTTGAAACCGGAGGAAACCGGTGAATCGTGCGTTCGAATCGGTTGATACTTACTAGCCGATTCGACGCTCCCCGGGAACATAACTGTTATTTTTACGGCGAGATAGTAAAAATACATTTCGGCAGATTACGGGAGAGCCGAAACTCGCGTTGAAATATATCTCCCGCTCGCTCTTAAATTATAGATTTAATGGATTTGCTGGATACTTTGCAAACATTCTGCTTAAATGCCTCCACGCTGACCGCCGCGCCGGGGGCTTGCAGCTGCGATCGTAAAACTGCCGACTATGCTCCGACATTTTTCAAATGCCTCCTCGGTCATCCAGTAGATCTCCGTGAGGCAACCGAACGTCTCGGGGAGATGCATCGCCCTTTTGCGAGAGGTTGATGAGGTTTCTACAGTTTTGATCGAGTTTGTACTCTTCTCTGTCTCAGCTATGGTTTTTTCCAAAAGTTTCACTATTTATATCGTTTGCTTTGGTTTAACAAATTTTCGTTTCCTCGCAAGCCGTTTTTAGACACAGCAATTCACGAATATATTGGAACTCTCCTAGGAACATTTTTTTATCTTCTAATGAAAGAAATTTCTAATCGTGTGAAGGTAGCCAAGTGCTATTTAATAATACGAAATTTGATATACTTGGACCTAATTAATTAGTATGTAAATTCTGTAACAAATATAATGCTGTGTAAGTAGTTCTTATCACTGCATTATGCAAAACATTTTGAAATCTTATTAGCATCGTAACGAGACACGGCTATCGTAATCATATTGGCAAAATTTGTAATGAAAGTGAAAATGTATAGCTATAGAAATTAGAAGAGATACTTATTGAAACTATATAATTTGCAAAGAGTATCAACGTATTTGATCATCAATTACTCTTATCAATTATTCGTTACGTTAGTAAACAACAATTTAGTGAAATCATTTTTTACGCTAATTGTATGTTTTAAACTACTATTCATGCTATATACTAATCTTTGCATATATAAATATATATCTGCAATAAACGTCTTGTAACTTCTACCGTTTTTTTAAAAAATATAGACAAACTTCGTTTACACATGTTGTGCCATAACATGGCAGTAATAATAATTTTGTAGTTGGAGATTTCAAGATCACCTCCACTTTTTTAAATTGCTTGCTGTACTTTTTTATTTCTAGTAGAATGAAGCGTATTTAGATGATTTCAACGACCCGT